AAAACGCAACCCTATATAGGAACGCGTTTTAATCGAGTTCATATCGCAACTATATTAAAAGTTAATTCAACTATATTAAAAGTTAATCCAATGAAGTCCTCGGAACATATAGCAATACAAGTATGTGTGTGTGTGTGTGTGCATGTAAACTTGAAGCACTATCTTTAAAGTATCCACAATATGAATACACTCTTTAAGGGGCACTTCCAGTTAAGCGTAATCTCACAACAAATTTACTTTCTGGATTAAAATTACAATGGATAACCAAAGATAGATTAACATTGTAAACAACATAAACAATAGTGTCCCATGATTCTTTGGTGCAATCCCTGGGATTGAGCGGTTCGCCTTTAAGGTAGAAGCCTACTTGTGAATGCAAATACCCAGAATTTATTCAATTTCTAATAAATTTACTTCCGGGCTATATAAGAATATTGTGAATGATGGGGTACTCTTTTGTTGTTCTCAATCATTAAAAAATCTGGGTTTTAAAAGTGGCAAAAAATGAAACTTTCTATATTTTTTAAAAATATTCAGACAAGTTTCTCAAAATATTTCACTGTATCACAAAAAAGAAAGCTTAATAAAAGGTTAACAACGCTACTGAATGCTTTTTGTGGTGCTTTACGCTATGTGGACATGATGAAGTTGCCTCTTGAACATGCAGGAATGGTTACCTAGGTAACCTCCTCCAGAATTATGACAGCTAAGTCACCTACAATGATAACCTGGGAACGGTTTTTCATGTGTGAGAAAAATATAATCATTCTTGAAATACTGATAGCCATATTTGTTTGTTTGTTATTAGATACCTAGCATGGAGCCTGGACGAAAAAAAAATCCGTTCTCAGGATACTGTTTCTGTAGTGTCTCAGATCGCTGGCAATCCTTTCAGAGGACGCGAGTTGGTTTGGGATTTTGTTACCAAAAACTGGCAGACTTTCCTTGATAGGTGAGTTCTAATTTGCATATCATCATACTTAGATATCTGATTTGCATATAACCATACTTGTATCTAATTTGCATATAACCAAACTTAGATATCTAATTTGCATATCATCTTAGTTAGATATCTAATTTGCATATCATCTTAGTTAGATATCTAATTTGCATATAACCATACTTAGATATCTAATTTGCATATCATCTTAGTTAGATATCTAATTTGCATATCATCTTAGTTAGATATCTAATTTGCATATAACCATACTTAGATATCTAATTTGCATATAACTAAACTTAGATATCTAATTTGCATATAACCATACTTGGATATCTAATTTGCATATCATCATACTTAGATATCTAGTTTGCATATCACCGTACCCATTATCTTATTTATCACAGATATTCGACTGGTTCATTTGAAATGGATAACCTGATAACTGCAATGACGACAGGATTCTCAGAAAGATCTGACCTTGAAAAGGTAAATACATCAAGTGCACCCTCTAACAGGACTGATTTTATAGGAGTGCCCTCTAGAGTACTGATTTTGTAAGAGCACCCTCGACAGGACTGATTTTGTAAGAGCGCCCTCTACAGGACTGATTTTGTAAGAGCGCCCTCTACGTTGTGTCGTCACCCGGAAGCGTTGTCCCAGCACAAACCTGTGTCATATGACGCCTTACTAGCCGATTTTGACTAAAATTCTGCTCCGCCGCCTCTTTACAACAGTGTTTATACGCGGAACTTGATATTGCTTTTTACAATTTGGGTTGCCTTTGAATCACATATTTTAGTGAAACATTGTTTATAGAGTGAAATATTATTGTCATACATAATTCAATCTTTGAAACAACACATAATAACGATAATCAAATTTGTGTTTGAAGTTCAAAAGTAGTTGCGTTATTTCCAGTTTCAACTAGTTTGAAAATAGAACGCCCTTGAGCGCAATAAAATCACGCGTAGAACTCCATCCAAACCAGACTCTAGCAGCGTAAACTTAATGCAATTTGGGCCCAGTTTGTTCTTACAAATTTTCTAAGTTTCATTTATCATTATTTAGTAAACAGGTCTCTGAAACGATTTAATATATCTGTAAAATACGTGGCAACCCACAATTGACTTCGAAACATTCGAAATTTCTAACTAACTCCCGGCACACCTAGCGCGATATGCGTCAGATCGGTGTAGAAGATGCCGAACTGCAGCGTCAATGGCGCCCTCTACAGACTGATTTTGATAGAGCGCCCTCTACAGGACTGATTTTGTAAGAGTGCCCTCTACAGGACTGATTTTGTAGCGGTGCCCTCTACAGGCGTGTGTACTTTAATTTTCGCCCTTATCAAACTAAAGTCATGTAAACAAACAATGTATTTTACATGTGTTATATATGCCATTGTGAATTCCATATCGAACACAACACAGCGTGACAAGCACCACCCTTCAACAACATTTTGTAATACTCTTGATGAATTAATTTTAATTTTTTTTCCAGATTGAGACATTCTTTGCAGCCAATCCTGATGCAGGTAGCGGTACACGTGCTATCAAACAAGCGATTGAAGCGGTGAACATGAATGTTGCATGGGTGGAGGCTCATAAGGAGGAAGTCATTGATTGGCTGAGTCAAAATGCGCAAAATCCTCCTCGTATGGTGCGTGATAGACTATGAAGTATTCTCCCAAGATGCATTGCAGTTGTTTAGTTTCAGAGTTGTGGGTGTTCAGACAAATAGTGCGATATATTAAGTATATTGAATTCTATTGTAAGACTGTGAATACTGTAAACACTGTCAACACAAACATTACGAATATTGTAAACAGTGTGAACACTATGAACACTAATGCAAATATTTTGAACACTAGACACTAAAATCTATGAGCACTACAAATCCTGACCTCTGCAAAAACTGTAAACACTACAGACACTGAAAACTATGAACACTGAACACTACAAACACTAAAAAAAGGGAATACTAAACACTGTGAACACTGAACACTACAAACACTAAAAAAAGGGAACACTGTGAACACTGAACACTACAAACACTAAAAAAAGGGAATACTAAACACTGTGAACACTGAACACTGAACACTACAAACACTAAAAAAAGGGAATACTAAACACTGTGAATAGTACAAACACTAAAAGCTCTTTGAAACACTCCCAAACCCTTCAGCCAATCGTTGAATTCTATGGCCTAGCCATGATGTTGTCTTTCCAATATTGAAAAATACACTTCAAATGTATATCAGAAAACACTGTTAATGTTAGAAGCTTACATATAGTTGGAAATAATTGAAACATAGGTAAGAAGGCTGCTTGTAATACTTACATAAAATGGAAGCATTTATGTAAACTAGCCCCAGTATCAGAGTCTGGTTGTACTTGCAATGTAATGTGCCACATGGGTTACATGTAGATTCAGGTGGGAGTGATGTAACCCAGTCGTTTGACAATATTATCAGATAAAAGCTGAAGATAATGTACTTACTTGTACTAGATCTCGTATTTCTCCTCGTAGCCATCCCCATATTCGGCTTGTAGTTAAAGATTAAACACTATTCAACATTGGTGAACATTAAATACTGATAAAAAATGAACACAAGCAAACATTAAACGTTTGTGAACATTGAACACTAGCTAACCTTGAAAACTTGCGAACTTTGAACACTAGCTTAAACATTGAACATTTGTGAACATTGAACATTAGCCAACACTGAACACTTGCGAACATTGAACACTAGCCAACATTGAACACTTGTGAACATTGCACACTAGCCAACACTGAACAATTGTGAGCATTAAACACTGGTCAGCATTGAACACTAGTCAGCATTGAACATTTGTGAACATTGAACACTTGCCAACACTGAACACTTGCGAACATTGAACACTTGTGAACATTGCACACTAGCCAACACTGAACAATTGTGAGCATTAAACACTGGTCAGCATTGAACACTAGTCAGCATTGAACATTTGTGGACACTAGCACACATAGAACATTGGTGAACATTGAACACTGGGCAACATTATACATTGGTGAATATTGAAATCTAGTTGAACATTTATGGAAATATTGCACCTATATGGAAAAACACTGGAGAGACTCAACAGCGGATGAGTCATCACATTTTGTGAACAAGTACAATCAAGACACTGGGAGTCTTCAAAACAAATATTTTTTCTCAGAGGTCATAAACTCATGGGAATCATTTCGCTCTTGTCTGGTTGCTTCATCATATGAACAGTGTTTTCTGCCTTAACGTATTTACCCAACAATTACGGTCAGGTCACATGATCAGATTGACCTCAGATATTTGATATTCCTGGTCACATGATCTGACTCTTGAGATTACATATTCATTTTTAATCAGTAAATATTACAAGAAAATGGATGCGTTTTAGTATTTTTTGATAACTGAGTTTTTGCCGGTGACTGGTGTAGTTATATTAGTTCTTGTCATGTGACCCAGAATTATGATTTTGTGATAATCGCTGGTAGCATAGCAACAAGCATAGCAACAAGCATAGCAACAAGCATAGCAACAAGCATAGCAACAAGGATGCAACTCAGAATGTGTGTTCAATAATTTTGAAAGCCAAAGTCAACATGCGTCACCATTCACAAAATAAAATAAATTAATTTTTCACAATATTTTTCTAAAATTTTGATCAAAATTTGTACCAAATAGGCAAATATGTTTTTTTGGTTCAAAATAATCAAAAAAATTATGGGAAATACTTAAAAATTGGCAAAATGTTGCTCTGAATGTTGACGGAAAAAATTCTTTAATTTTTTTCTTTTGCATCAATGAAGAACACAGTATGTGTACTCTTGTTCAAGTAAAATGAAATCAAAAGAAAATATTAAATTTTGAATACTTATCATTTAGGACTTTATTAAAAAAAATAAAGTACATTTTTTTGTTTCTTAAACTTAGTAATAGATTACAGCCTGGGTTGAATGTTGGCTGTTACAAAGTAGAACAATATGAAATATGTAATATGTTATTTATAGAACAATCTGTTTCTAGAACAGCCTATTTATAGAACTAAATATTTATAAAACTGGATGTCAATCCAGATTATTCAAAGGGCTTCCATATGTAAATATAATACTCCCTAGGTCACATCTATTTAACTGCTGACTCCCTAACCTGCTTGGAATTGTCTGATTGATATTACAGTCCTTTGGTGCCAAGACTCCCTAGGTTACTTTGATCAGCTCAAAGAGTCCTTAAGTTACTTATAATGTTTACTTCAGTGTTAGTTACAGTTTATCAGGTATGATATTAATACTGCGAAAGCATTGATTTTCATTAGTATTTTTAAATTCACTATTTTTATAATCATATAAAAAATAATTTCTATGAATAAATTTACATTAATTAATTGTTCAATTGTTATCAATAGATTTAATTTATGCGTGAAAATAGTGAAATTAAAACCTAGTGAATAATTAATGTTTCTACAGTATATTCTTTACATATGTAATAATTCAACTGTATGTAGATTTTTTTTTCACTGTAATTTTTTTTTAAACTATCAAATACAGAAATTGATAATTGTACTAGAAAATGAAAAAAAATTCATCAGTCTTTAACCTTTTCACCACCAGACTTTCTCGGCCAAAATTATTCTGCACTTTTTTCTTCAATATTTCTGGAACTTCGAAACCAACAGACAAAATTTGAGTTAATTTTTCGTTTTTACTCAAAAATGTGTCAATTTTTGTCTCAATCTTCAGACTAAACAAAACGATTTTGTAAATTTGTGATAAAAAGAGGGAACTGGTGGTGAAAAGGTTGAAATTTGCATGATGTTAATTTGTATAAGTACACTTTTGAAATATTTTTTTGGATAGGAAACTATGGTAGAATTTGCCCAACTAACATTTTCTTTTTAAATTCAAAATTAGATTTTCAAGTAATGTGTACAGTGATGAACATATTTATTTTGAAATTTCTGCTTCCGTGAAATGTCACATATGTACAAATAAAAGAAATGACAACATATATTGTGTTACTTCTTTTATCTAGCTATGAGTAATTTTTGTGCGAGGCTTTGCGGTTACTCTCTGTGCGAACATGGGTGTGTTGGTGTGTGCAAGTGCACATGCGAGTGTGTGTGTTTGCATGCATGGGCATTTACATACAATGTATGTATGTATGTGTGCCTGTTCTATTGCCTATACTTTTGTTTGAAAAATCTATTTTCTATTGAACTCTGTGAATTTTAATTATCTAATTTGAATAATAATTTGTCAATTTAAAACTTTTAAGTTACTGGTAGTATCTCAAGAATCACTTATCAGATTTGAATGAAACTTTGTACACAGGTCCTCTGTGATAACCCATTGATCTTATCAGGGTTTGGTTGCAATCTCTGAATATTAATTACATAATTTGCATAAATAAAACAATATGAACCTGTTTTACATATATTAATCTCAAGAACCACTCATTATGTTGCCTGGGACTATCCACAGACAATTTAATGATGGGTTGAAATCATGCATATTAATTACATAATTTGCATAAATTAAACAATATGTAGCTGTTATACATATATTCATCTCAAGACCCACCCAACATGTTGCCAGGGACTATCCACAGACAATTTAATGATGGGTTGAAATCATGCATATTAATTACATAATTTGCATAAATTAAACGATATGTAGCTGTTTTACATATTCATCTCAAGACCCACCCAATATGTTGCCTGGGACTATCCAAAGACAATTTAATGATGGGTTGATACCATGCATATTAATTACATAATTTGCATAAATTAAACGATATGTAGCTGTTTTACATATTCATCTCAAGACCCACCCAATATGTTGCCTGGGACTATCCAAAGACAATTTAATGATGGGTTGAAATCATGCATATTAATTACATAATTTGCATAAATTAAACAATATGTACCTGTTTTACATAAATTATATTATTCTCAAAAACCACCCAATATGTTGCCTGGGACTATTCAGGACAATTTAGTGATTGGTTGAAACCATGCATATTAATTACATAATTTGCATAAATTAAACAATATGTACCTGTTTTACATATATTAATCTCAAGACCCACCCAATATGTTGCCAGGGACTATCCACAGACAATTTAATGATGGGTTGAAACCATGCATATTAATTACATAATTTGCATAAATTAAACAATATGTACCTGTTTTACATATATTAATCTCAAGAACCACCCAATATGTTGCCTGGGACTATCCACAGACAATTTAATGATGGGTTGAAATCATGCATATTAATTACATAATTTGCATAAATTAAACAATATGTAGCTGTTTTACATATATTAATCTCAAGACCCACTCAATATTGTTGTCTCCTATGTCAATTTAGGCCTGACAAAAATAAATTGCTTTTTCATCATTCCTTCTCGACCTTGTGCCAAAAAAATCACTCAACACTCGCGCAAGACCTTGTGTAGAGATTTGTCTACACACACAGACACATAATGAGCATCTGCTCCAACATTTGCGATATTTTCTTTGAATTTTCAATGCTTTACAGATGTGTCTTAACGCCAAAAAAAAAGAGAAAGAAACACTTTACACAAACATTACGAGGGGGTATATATATTACATTTTTGAAAACCATATTGATTCTTCAATTCACCCATTTGTGATATTCCCAAAGCCAACCAGATTTTGGCGCAAACTGTCGTTCCTTTTTGAAGAATGTATTCATTCGCGGTGACGTCATGGCGATCATTCTGTCATTTGTCATTTGTCAACGGCAATTTTAAAATTTTTCTAAACTGTCTTTCTGAAAGCACTGCTTGCACGTGAATCAAGCACTGCTGTCAAAAGACTACTTCAAAAACATGTACCCTGTTTGTATAATGATAAGTGTAGTTTTCCTACATTTTGGGGTTTCACGTGATATGTATATTGGTGTTTCAATATTGCTGCAGCCTCGTTCGAATATCATATATATTATGCGTAGCTTACTCACATTTACACACAAAGTGACTGCACATGTCCAGGACTCCACTGTACTTTGAGTCAAATACTTTGTATTATTACAAGTTGATACTTGGAGAACTGTCTTAGTTATTTTATAATGACCAACTACGAACAAGGATGATACAATGGCGGGTGAATATGATGTATACGCGTGACAGAAACCTGCATATAGTCATTTATCTCTCACCACACACCCTTATCAAACTAGAGTGTTAAAGGCCCAGGCTTCTACCTTAAAGGGCGGTGGTCGTCGCGCAGTGCATGTGCGATAAACATTTATTTTCCCACAATCCAATGTGCTCTTCCAATGTAAATCACAAGTATGAGTTTTAACTTGCACTAATTACTGCTGGTGACTCCTTCCATCCTTTGTAATCGCCTAAAAAATACCCAATTGAAGCTTGGTAACGTCTCAGTTTGTACTCGTTCTGCGCAACAGTCAAAGTCGCCATCTTTGTTTATATCAGACCCATATATCTCGCGCATGCATAAATACGTGTATGTGCATTTCAGTACTGTATCATTACATATTCATGAACATAAATAGCAAAATTGTTCATGCACAATCATAGATATTATTCGGTTCACTCATCTACAAAAAATGAGCAGAATAGTTTGTAGACACACTGAAAAATATGAACTTATGTTAAAGCAAAGGGGTTGTCACCTGCGCATGCGCAGGAATTGAGTCCTAAGCAATGATAACAATGCACACTAAAACCACAAAGGCTCATGGGTAGACGCTTGTTTGTAAATAATGACGTGCTATGACCATCTGACGCATGCACAGGTGACAAGTCCCCCGCCTTCAACTACAAA